GCCAGACCCCAAAAAGGAAAAACCCTGGACTTTCCCACATGGCCTAATCTCTGGCGTTTCCCTGAGGCTATAATCCTATCAACTGGCCTTTCTTTGTGGCTTTGTCCAATCCCTGTTACCCTTAACCTAGCCTGGTCCTCCATCTCTTACCTCCCTGTGAGTGTGGGGAGCTGGGGGGGCAGTCATTTCCCACCCTTAATCCTATCTTGGCTCCATTCTCCCTTGGCCACTCCTGGAGTTCTATTACCTCATAGACTACTTGGCCACTCCTAGATCCCTCCCATAGTCTTTCTGTATGTAAGGTCCATCTTGTCTCCACTAAGAGGCTGGGATTCCTAAAATCTAACCACTGCTCTGATTCTTATAATCTAGCCACTACTCAGATTTTCACAATCTAACCAATAGCCCACAGATGCTCAGATTCCTTAAGAGTCTGGCTAATATGGTGAATCTTCAATAAACCTTGTTTTTGGCTGAAAGAAGGCTTAGGTCGAATTCTTTCGGACAGGACCCGGGTGTTGTGATTTTGGGATTCCAGGACCCCTGACCTCTAGACCTTATCATATGGTTCCCTGCACCGGGAAAAACTGCCTAATACCAAGCTCTTCACCAGCTGGGACTGGAAAGTACAAGCCTCCCCTCTTCCCCTAATCCTTTTTTTTTTTTTTTTTTTTTTTTTTTTTTTTCCCTGTAATGGGTGGATTTCCAAACAACTAGGAAGGCTTGGCTTGGAAGTGCTTTTCGGGCTTGACGTCTCATGTTCCTTTAGGTCAGACAGCTACTACCTATCCAGAAGCATGGACCCAATCCTCTCAATTCTCTCAGTGCTGGGGACTTGGGAAAACTTAATGTACTTCTTTGGGCTTTTGGTTTTTTGGTTTATTTCCAGAGGCTTATTCCTAAATCCTCCTTTAAGGAGGAAGGGACTTCCAGCCTCCATACCTGCAAAGGGTCAATCCTCTTCAATTCCTGAATATTCGCTTTTAGGCTGTCTTTTATGAAATTGGGAAAAATTTAGTTTCTCTAAAGAACTAAAAGACAAAGCTGGTGTTCCTTTGCAACACTGTTTGGCCTTAGTATCACCTAGGAAATTACAAGGCGTGGCCCATTTTTGGGACATTACAGCAAAATACGCTCTCAGAGTTAAAACGATATTGTAGCAGAGAAGGAAAATGGGTAGAAATTTCCTACATAATAACTTTGGTCGAACTTTTTTGGGACCCCATTCTCAGAAAAGATTGTAGGATGCTCATAGCTAGAGCCAGCCCACAAATGGGGAATGGGGATCAACTAGACTTTTTGGATGACCCGCTTATGGCCCCCAGTGCTAGAGCACCCCCTCTTCCCATCCTCTATTAACACCGCCTCCCCAGCTTCTACCTGATTCACCTGATGGTGGATTTGGGGAGCCAGTCTGCTGTAATTAAGCCTATCTCCCTTTTCCCTCTGTGCCTTCCCATGTTCCCCAGAAGTGTGAAAGACAGTTGAGCTAATTATTTGGCATCAGAAAATTATGTCAAGCAACTTTTCATAATTTAGTTACTGCTAAAATAATTTGGCTATTGTTGGTTATTGTTTTAATGTGTAAAGTTGCCAAAAAGTGTGTTTGGGTTTTGTCTTGCTGAGAATTTGAAAGTATATAGAAATAATCTCTAATGATTGGCTTTTTACACAAGGACAAAGTTAAGTTTGTGATGTAAATCCTGGAAAAGTTTTTCCTGTGCTGTAATTAGTGAAACTTGTTGTTTGGGATAAAAGCTGTTGGGATTTATTTTGAGTTGTCTGATGGATCATAATAATCCATCGATAATAAATAATCCACCATCATAATAATGCCACAGGCTACTCAGAGAGAGTGTGATACTTGTAGGAAGGCACTATTGGGGAAAAAGATGAGAGGGCAATTTCAGATGGGATCCTCCTGGCTCAGTTTCCCCATTACGTTCCTTTGAAAAGGAATGTTACCCACCTGGCTATTCCTGAGTCTGGCTATGAGGTGGATTTAATACTGCATGGTTGGAAAACTAGATTATCTGAATCCAAATAGAGCTAAAGATGTTTTATTCTATATTTGGGCCCTAAATCTAGTCCCTTTTATATCTGGACCTTGCAGTCTTTTCTGTCAGATTTGTGTCTTCCAGGCTACAGGCCATTCACCTACAGTTGATAGGGAACAGTGGGTACCAGCCAATGTCATCCCCCCCATCATTCCCTGGATGCAGGCTGTGCTCAGTTCCAGTCCCTTGCCAGCGGGAAGCAGTTTCAGAAGCCAAGACCTTTGCCCCTTACCCCAAAAGAATTTGGATTCCATTTGTTTGAGGGGGGAATGATGAGGTTGGGAGCTGGACGCCAAAAAGGAAAAAGCCTGTGTTTTCCCACGTGGCCTAATCTCTGGTGTTCCCCTGAGGCTATGATCCCATCAACTGGCCTTTCTTTGTGGCTATATCCGATCTCTGTTACCCTTAACCTAGCCTGGCCCTTCGTTGCCTTACTTCCCTGTGGCGTCTGGGGCGGGGGGTGCAGGCATGGCGCAGCCCCCCCAATCCAACCATTTCCCACCCTTAATCCTATCTAGGCTACATTCTCCCTTGGCCACCCCTGGAGTTCTATTAACTGGCCACTCCTCGATCCCTCCCATAGTCTTTCTGTATATAAGGTCCATTTTGTCTCCATTAAGAGGCTGGGATTCCCAAAATCTAGCCACTGCTCAGATTTTCACAATCTAGCCAATAGCCCACAGATGCTCAGATTCCTTAAGAGTCTGGCTAATATGGCGAATCTTCAATAAATCTTGTTTTTGGCTGAAAGAGGGCTTGGGTTGAATTCTTTCGGGCAGGACCCGGGTGCTGTGATTTTGGGATTCCAGGACCCGTAAGCTCTAGACCTCATCAGAGAGGTGATCAGACCTTCAGGAAGAGAAGACATGGACACAAACATCATATTCTGCCTCATAATTAAGAGTCAAGAAAGGTGCCGATAAAGTGCTACAAGGAAATTTTGAAAGTTTTCCACTTGGTAGAACCAAAGAATGATTCATGGCAGATGTAGCAGCAGAGTTTGGTGGGAGGAGCAGAGTTTCAGGTTAAATATAGAAATAGTTAAGACAGGAATGAGAACAGGGGATGCTGTCTGGTTGGACTGTTGTGTTTTTTACATTTCACTGTTATTTGCCCATCCACTGAAGGGCTTCTGCCTAAACATCTTGAATACAAAGGAAATAGAAGGGGCAGCTAGGTGGCGCAGTGGAGACAGCACCAGTCTTGGAGTTAGGGGGAACTGAGTTCAAATTTGGCCTTAGACACTTGACACTTACTATGTGACCCTGGACAAGTCACTTAACCCCATTGCCTAGACACCCCCCCCCAAAAAAAGAAAGGAAGGAAATAGAAGACAGGCTTGTTTAAGCTTACATGAGAGTGTGTGAAATTCAGATCCCTTCATTTTGCCATTTGGGCAGCTTTATAAGAATGTGACAAAGAGTAGAGGCAAACTGGTGAGTTGAAGTTTCTCTATGGCTGTTATTTGGCTATACTGATATCTGTACTGGCCGCCGGCCGACCTCCTGCCGGCCGCACGCCGGTACCCGCTCCTCCTATAAGGAGCACACTACCAGAGTCACACTTACTCCCGAGTCTTCGGTCCTCAGCCAGATAAACACATAGAGACGAGCCATCGGGAGGCGCCAACACCAGAGCTTTATTCAGAGGCCATCACAGCAAGCCATCATAGCAAGCCCAAGCAGCAAGGCCAGAGCAACAGGGCAGGAGCCAGGAGAGAGAGCGCGTGATCTGACCACGCATGTTCCTAAATACCTACCTAGCCCCTCCTCCCCAGCCTGCTTACTAGCCAATGATTGTAGGGTCTGATACCAGAAGGGGCTGTCTGAGTTTAGCACACCAAGGGGGAGGGAGTGACGTAGGAGGCTAGGACCTGATACAGGGAGGAGGCATCTGGGATTGGCGCATAGACAAGAGTACATGACCTAGGAAGTCAGACTCAGACACTGGGAGGAGGGGTCTGGGTCAGTGCTGCACAAAGAGACCCAGGAAGTCAGGAAGGTCACAAGAGGCGTCTGGGGATGACGTTGCATATAGGGAGGGGACTAAGCAAAGGGAACTCAGTCCTCTGCCATCCCACTCCCACGTGGCACCGCCCCTTGCCTCAGGAGCTCAAGTTCCGGCTACTTCCTTGCACCCAGCTTATCTCACATAGCACTGCCTACTGCCTCAGGGCTTCTCCGTATCCAGCCCATCCCAGTTCACCACGACCCTGCCTACCACAGCCCCTGCCTCGACTTCCAAAATACCCAGATCTTACCCTACTCTTGCCACAGCGCCCAACCTTGTAGCTGCCAACATCAGACAGTCCCTCACAGATATCAGTATTGACCATTGAGTCTATTTCATGTTGCGTGAACAGAGATTAGTGAGAATAACAGTAATAGCAGCTAACATAATGCTTTAAGGTTTGCAAAGTATTTAACATGCTTATCTTACCATGTCCCAGTGAAGTAGGAAATATTATCATCCACTTTTTGCAGATGAGGAAACAGAGGCTGAGGGAATCAAGTGACTTATCTAAGGCCATGCAGCTAATAGTTATTGGTATCTAAGTCAGGATTCAAAGATAGACCACTTGTTTGAACATGGAGTAAGAACTGTTCACTACTAAGTACAAGATCTCCTTAATGCTCTTAAAAGGAATTTTTCAAGAGGAAAGAAATTGATCAAAATTATTTCTTAATTTGGCTTAAGACTTAAGAAAGTACTTTTAACTTCTGGTAGGAAAATTGTAGTCTATTTAGAAAACATTTCAATTATAGGATTTGAAGCAATCACAATGACTGGTGGGCCTGTCATTGATTATATTTTGGTCTGTGACTTTATAGCTGGAAGGGGCCTAAAGGCCCCTTGGTCCAGTCCAACCTTATAAATGGAGACTGGGGCTCACAGATGGTATCACCTTGTGAAATATTGAATTTGTTCCTTCTTTCCCCGCAGAACCTGGCCTAAGGGACAGCCACAACGGGACAATGCAGGCACATGAGTTATTTCAATACTTTCGAGTGCCAGAGCTTGGGGACTTCCGACAATATATGCGCACTCTCCCAACAAACACGCTAATGGGCTTCGGAGCTTTTGCTGCTCTCACGACTTTCTGGTATGCTACGAGACCCAAGGCTCTGAAACCACCGTGTGACCTCTCCATGCAATCGGTGGAAGTGGAGGTGAGTTCTGGGTCAGGGTTAGGCTGCTGTCATCTGTCACCTACATGTCCATCTCAGGTTCCTCATCTAGTGAAGGTTGAGGCATAAGCCATCATCCCCTGATAGCAGGGGCCGGAATGGAGGCAAATCTCTATATGTAACATCTATCTGTCTCTATAGATCTGTCTGTTTATCTCTATCACTGTCTATGTATCTCTATTTCTACCTATCTTTATCCATATACCTCTGTCTCTATTTATCTTTATCTGTGAATACATTTCTTTATGTAGCTAGCTCTCTAGCTCCATTTCTACATGCCTCTACATTTATCTCTATTGTCTATTCATCTCTATCTGTATTTTTATATATCTGTATCTCTTCATATCTGTTTCTGCCTCTTTATATCTGTCTCTTTTTCTGTATTTATCTATATATCTGTTCCCATCTATCTCTATCTCTGTGTTTCTATATCTCTGCTTCTCTATATCTTGAAGTCTGTGGCTGTCCTGGGACAGGTCCGGTCTACAGGACTTGGGAAACCTTGCTAGGGTCAGAGATTCCGAGGTGGCAGGGACCTCCCATCTTCTGTCTGGTCTGTCACTTACAGATGATAGAAGGAATCACGAAGGGAAGAAGCATCTCTAAGGAAAGGGCAAAGGGATAAGGATTTGTACTGTCCCTACTATGTGATGGGCACTTTGGAAAGATGTTCTGATTTGATCCTCACAGTAACCCTGGGAGGTAGGTGGTGCTGTAATCCCCATTTTACAGTACAGGGAACTGAACCTTAGGGATGTTAAGTGACTTGCCCAGGGGTCACACACCTAGTAAGTGTCTGAGGCTAGATTTGAACTCAGCTCTTCTTGACTTCAGACCCCATGTTTTATCTGCTGCACCACCTAGCTTTCTAATAAAGGTACAAAGGGTACCAGTACTTGAACCCAAGCCCTTTTACTCTAAAACCCACTCTTTTTCTGCTGTATGGCATGCTTCTCTTGGCCTTCCCTGTCACCTAGGAGCCCTTTCCCCCCTTCAGTGGGATTCTGGGATAAAACAGAGTCTGCCAGGGGAGCATCCTACCTGGGTTCTCACTGCAACAGAAGTAGATACTGTTATGTTGCAGGCACATCTATCTTAAGCAGGATTTTTATCATGTTGCGGATGCTCAGAAATACTGATCCTCTGTCCTTGCCATGGAAACTACCCTTTCATCAAACTGGGGACCTTGGTTCTGTCCTTTTCTGGCTCCCCTGTCTGCAGGGTCCCTTTCCCAGGGTACCACAGTCAATAATATGCTTTAAGGTGTTTCTGATTCTAATGCCAGATCTCTGTCTATTATACATATTGGCTTCCTGCTTTCCACGCTGCCCAAACATTGGGAGGAAAGAAGGGAGGAAATCAGCTCTGATTGTTGTACTTGGGCTTTAGGTCTGGATTCTGCATCCCACCTGTCTTCCCTTCCATGTCCACATGGGTCAAGATCAAACAAGAGTTGCTAGGATTGTAAAACCCCTTGTACAAATGATAGAAGGACGGAGCCACTGTGGAGGAGAAAAGCTGTTAATGTTCAGCCTCAGTGTCCCTCAAGCTAAGCAAAAGACCAGTGTGGGAACTAATAAAATCCTGGGCTGAGTATGATAGCCATATAGAACTCAACTCTTTTTAAAAAATTTACTTTATTCAGAACTTAAGAAATAAAACAAGCATTCCCATAACATAGTAGAATAGAAAGAAAAAATAGAAAGAAACTCTTGATTGTTAAAGTGAAACTTTAAAAATCTATAAAGAGCAACTTATTCTGACCCATACAAAGAAGGTGAAAGGGATAGGCTTTTGAGGGGGAAGGAATACAGAACAACTTTAATCTCACTGAATCATTTGCAAATTACTGCAAAAGTGGTAGGACTTTTGTTGCAGATGTAGTGAATGGTGTGGCTAGCAAATGCCTCCATGAAAAATTGCTATAAATGCATTCTGTTTAGGATGGTGGTTCTTAACCTGGGGTCTGTGAGTATGTGTTTAGAAAACTATTTTGGTAGCTGTATCCCAGTCTAATCAATGTTCTTTGTAATCTAATGTATTATATTTTATGCATTTGAAAATATGATTCTGAAAAGGAGTACAAGGGCTTCCCCAGACTGTTAAGGTGGCCCATGATGGGGAAAAAAAAAAGTTGAAAATCTCTTCCCTTGTCTTACTACCTGAATCAATCAGGTTCTTTTTTTTTTTTTGGCTAGGCAATTGGGGTTAAGTATCTTGCCCAAGGCCACATAGTTAGTAAGTATCAAGTGTCTGAGGCCGGATTTGAACTGAGGTCCTCTTGACTCCAAGGCGAGAGCTCTATCCACTACGTGCAATGCTAGGGACTGGCAGTACAAAGACACCCGCAGATAATGGTGGGTTGTGATTTTTGGCCTTAGGTGAACACAAAGCTACTTGAACATTATCAGAGCTCTTCTTAATGTATTTTTGTAAGTTTTGGGTGGATATGTGGAAAACTGGTATATGTGGGGGGGGGGGGGGAGAAATTAACAAAAACTTGGAATAATTCAGTCGATTTCATCAAGGATTAATTCAGTGCCTCTGAGGCCCCTGCTGTGGGGGAGCAAGTTCATGACCCAAAATGTTGCTTATTTGTATCTCATTTTCAAACAAATGGGAACAAAGTAACAACATTCCATAACTTTTGTCAGTCTGGTCTGGTAGCAGTCACGTTAACTTTCTCATTTTGCATGGTCACATTATTTTAAGACACTGGCTACCCAAAATTTGGGTAGGGGGAGTCTGAAGGGAGGAACATTCCCAAAAAGGACTTAGGTACTTACAGCCAGAGCTTTAGCCTTGCGCAGTCCAAGGTCTCAAACTCCAGGAGGATGAGACCTGCTTTGCGGTAAAGGTGTTGGGCACTTCAAATCGAGGACTAAAACGTAGACTTCAGCTGGGCGGCAGTTTAATCCTGTCACTTATTTTCTCATCTTCTTAGTTTTAGTTGAATTAGAATTAATGTAATTATCATTATTATTAGAGTTGGTTGAATAATTCTTAAGCCATAAAAGCATATTGGAGCTTTCATATCCATTTCCTCAGTTTGATGGTATGTTAATGCACAATCATTAGATTTCTGCTGTATTAGATGGTTAAGAAAAATACTGAACCCACCACAGTGGTCCAAGGGCCTGGTGTTCAGCACATCAGGATGCCGCAGTTAGAGGAATGGCCAACATGGCAGAATTCAGATCCGAAGGCTATCTGGATGAGCACAGACCGAGGAAGCCAGGGGATGGGGGTGGAGGAAGACCAGAACAAGGAATAGGAGGTCCAGGCAGGAGTCAGGTATTCTAGGGATGAAGATAGGTCTGAAACAGAAAGATCAAGGTCAATCCCTGGTGGGCAGAAAGGACAGAAACAATGCAGGTGAGCAGCCAGCCCAGGAATCAGGGCAGCCACCCGAATAGGTAGAGGCTCAGGCTGCTGATTGGCAGTGAGAAGATGTAACAGCATCTCTCGGTGACCTTCTCACAAATGGAGGAATCTTGGCATTGAATAGTCTCCCTGGTCACTGGGGCAGTAAAGGAGTTAAGATGGGAGTGGATGCAGTCATCGAGGAAGTCATCTGTGCTATGCTTTGCTGCCACGTATCCAAACTGAGGTGGATGGAGCTTAAGTGAGGAATGGTTCAAAACAGCAAACAAGGTGGAACCCACCCCCTTCTGAGGCAGCACATACACTTTCCAGCAGTTTTCATTGTTAAGAGTTAACCAGTAAGCATTTATGAAGAGCCTACTACGCGCCAGGCTCTATGCTAATAAACACTGGGTAGGCAGGGAGAGAGGCAAAAACAATCCCTGCTTCCAAAGAGGTCACCATCTAGTGAGGGAAACAACCTGTAAATGTCTAGATACATACAAGCTATAAATATAGGGAAATAATTGTACATATAAGTAAGATGCACACATGGATCTATGCATACACGTGTACGTACATGTACGTGTATGGATAGGTACATATATACATTTAAGTACCTATGCCTCTGTATACACACATGGGTATATACAGGCATACCTGGTTTTATTGTGCTTCGTAGATAATTGCATTTTTTACAAAATGAAGGTTTGTGGCAGCCTTGCTTTTAGCAGGTCCATTGGTGCCATTTTTCTAATAGCAGCTGCTCACATCGTGGCTCTGTCACATTTTGGTAATTCTCGCAGTATCTCCAACTTTTTCATGACGATTATTATATTGTTAATGGTGATGTGTGATCATTGATCTTTGGTGTTAGTATTATAGTTGTTTTGGGAAACCACAAATCATGCTCATATAAGATGGAGAACTTCATCAGTAAGTGCTGTATGTGTTCTGACTGCTCCACCGGTCAGCCATTGCCCTGTCTTTCTCCCTCTCCTCAAGCCTTCCTATTGCCTATGACACAACAATAACCCTGCGATGGCCTCTAAGCATTCAAGTGAAAGGAAGAGTCAATCTGTGCAGCAAACCTCATTGTTGTCTTATTTTAAGAAGTGTCCCCAACCACCCCAGCCGTCAGCACCCACCACCAGCAAAAAGATTATGACTCGATGAAGGCTTAGATGATGGTTAGCTTTTTTTTTTAAAGCAATAAAGTATTTTTGATTAAGGTATGTACATTGTTTTTAGATATAATACTATTGCACACTTAATAGACTTCAGTATGGTATAACATAATTTTTGCACGTAACTGGAAAACCGAAAGATTTGTGTGATTCACTTTATTGTGATGGTCTGGAACTGGATCTACAATATCTCCAAGGTATGCCTACATTTATGTGTATGTATGTGTGTATATGTTTGCTTGTATAACACACACACACACCTTCAAGTATTTGAAGGGCCGTCCTGTGCCAGAGGAATATTCTTGTTCTCTTTGGCCCCAGGGGGCAGAACCAGGAGAGTACTGGGTGAAAGAGGCTTAATGTCAAGAAAAACTTCCTTCTCAGGATCTCTCTATGCTATGTGTGTGTGTGTGTGTGTCTTCTGCCATGTAT